TCATTATTTAACTGTTTATCGTCATTATTATGATCATTTTTCCTTATTGTTATTACAGACTCTTTCACTCGATTTATGCTATTGCAGACTTATGAAAGGAAATAAAGAAAAATACAAACAACTTTCGACAACATTTTTTGTCATTTGCAAACCACACTTTGATTTCATTTTTTCTCGGCTAAAATCATATAAAAATGTCCTCATCGCCACGATTCTTGGCGCTTAGATCTGAATAGATGACGACGAAATCGACCTTGTAAATCAATAATAATTTGTCTCATTTTAAAATGGAATCAAGACATTTATTACTAATTGTAAACGAAACTCGATTCACGAAACTCTTCATAAAATGGAGTTTTTATAGTCTTTTTTTCTCTTGAACAAAGAAAAATCCATGGAAAAAATTCAACCAAAATGTTCTTTTAATAGGCAATATAATTACCTGACATTTTGTGGGCCTCTTTCTCACTCTCTGCTTTTCACGTCGAACGAACGTTTTGGATAATGGGAAAAAATAGTCCATGGGCCATTTTCAAACAACAGCACTCGAAGAAATTAGTGTTTATAAAGTCATTATTATGCGAAAAAGTAATATAAAGTGGTTCAAAAAAAATAAGTGGAAAAGGTTTGGTTTTTTTTTCATTCATTTTCGAGGCCATAACAATTAAATGCCAAACAGCACCATAGAAAAACTAAGAGAGAGAAAGGTAAATAGAAATAATAATTTAATATGTGAAATAAGAGAAAAACGACTCCATATTATAAATAACATTACCAAAAACACTTTGGCCCGACTGCAATACTGTATGCACACACGCAAAATCATTAAAACGAACGAAATAAACCGATTGAGCCTATGATAAAATTGCGTGCTAACCGAACCACACCGAATAAATATACCAACGAAGAAAAACCATATCACGGTTTTATTATAACCGTACATATTTAAAAAAAACACACATAATTTATTGATTTCGTTTCTAGACTTTTGCTTTGAGTGTATCGGTTCGAACATAATAAACAGAGAAATGGCCGAATTGAAGCCATTTTGAACCGAAAAACCAATTTCGGATATTAAAAAAAATCCCTGAAATTCACATTGAAACAAACTAAATAACATAAAAGAACTACATAAATTGCAGTGATTTCACACAGAAATATAAATGTAAAATATTTGTGAATCACCGCGGACAATTTTCCCTTGCACGCTTCAATGTGCTATAAATCTAGATAATGTCATAATTAGAGGTTTGAAAACTCCCTTCATTGCGAGCGAATGCGCTCTTGTCTCCATAAAAAAACAAAAATGATTCGCGCGTAATTTATTTCAAAAATGGCAAATGGATTCAATGAATTCGAATCAAATTGTTGTGAATGATGTGTCTTAAAAGTGTGAATGCTGCCGTTGTTGGTGCATTGTCGCTTCATATCAAATATGTCACAGTGAAATATTTTTACGCTTGATTTAAAGTAGTGGAGAAGAATGGGAGAAAGGCTGAGGCTTTTGTGTCGCGGCTATGGCAAAGCGGTTTGCAACAAACACATGAAATTTTAATTAATTTGTTTGGTTTTCACAACACAATGAAAACTACATATACTCAAATTGATACACTGAAATATACAAAATATGTGCATTTAGCAGAAATATGGAGAGTAAAACTCTGATGCTAATAATAGGCTATGCACTGTGATAAAAGTCATTCTACAAATTGAATTCCGTATTATGATATTAAAGTCAAGTATGACCATTTTTGACAATTTAATATGCGAATTGGTTTTTTTTTCCATTTCATCGCGTTATAATGTCGCGCATGGTGACGAATAGATAATCGTATATACAATAGCATTATCATCAGCAATGGCATTACCATTAGCCGATTTAATAACATCGGCCGAACCGAGACAAAAGCAATAAAATTGCATAAAATCAAGCGTCATCGCCAAACTGCTTTTCAAATGTACAGTATACAAGAAATTATGACGGAGCTGTGCTGCTTCATATATATATATTTTTATTTTCGGTTAAACTTCTGATTGCCACTGTAAAATGGCATTCAAATTATACATTTTATACGCACTGCCAACGACATTAAGGCACTATCGCAATTGCGCTCGCACACACACAAAAAGTAAACACTATACATTTCATTCCAATTTGATTTTTGAGTAAATATTTCGAATATTTTTGCGTTCTGCTCGATATATAAAAATAGTGTTATAGCTCATTCATAAAATTAGTTAACATTACTTCATGGTTGAGCACGGTTAAAGAGAATGAAATGGTTTGTATGCGTGTACGACTTGATTGAGTGAGTGGCTTTTGTGCATTTGTCCTGTACGCTTTTGTGGAATTCGTTGTGGTAAAATGATTTTTCACATGTACATGTAAAATAATTGGGCCGATGTGTATTTATGCAATTCAATTGCATGCGTCAAACGTAATGTAACATGTATTTTTTTTTTGGCATCGCATTTTTATTGGCATTCGAGTGGCGAGATAATTAAAATGCTGTTAATTGTTAAACTGTATCAATTGCAATGATAGTTGATGGTTGAAATGAAATATAAAAAAATTGAAAAGAAATGAACCGATAGATAAACCTTCAATTAGTGCATTACGTTCATTACTTGCATGATGATGTTTTCGTCTTTGATGTGGATTATCTCTTTTATTATGGTGATTTCAGTTAAGTTTGATGGACATTTTCCACCGTGTTCAATGATAAAAAATATCGAACTTTTTTTTCTTAATTTATTTAAATTCAAAAACGTTTGGTTTTGTTTTTGAATCAGCGACTTGATTTTTTAACATTTCGGCATTTTGAAATGATGATGAAGAAGCGCGTTCACAAGTCACCAATCGACCAGAGAATAAGATATATGAGAACGTTGCATTGGAATTCAACATATTTTCACGTCGACTGAAAATCATGTAGATGGATTTTTGTTGATGTTACTGCTGTGTGTGTTTGTATGTGCATCTCTTTCAAATAGCGGCGGCATCATCGCACCAATTTTGTTTATGTATTTTGACATTCCATTTGTGTGATGCACTTTTCTGTAGTGTCCATTCGTGTATGTATTTGTGTATATACCTTTTTGTCGCTCTCAACGCAAATTGGTCTCTTTGGCAGAGAATTGCTCTGAAAACCGATCAACCGATTTAATTTTGAAGTTTGTGCAAATATTTTTTCACAACTTTAACGATATATGTATATATATATTTCGCTTCTCACTCGACTCTTCGTTTTCGCGGCTGAATATTTATATATAAAAATGTGCCGGATTTTTCGTATGCACCTGTAAAAATTCTGCATCTCTCTTTTACATGTGTTAAAAACATTTTTTTTCTGAAGTCGAGCATTTTTTTAACCTCGGTCTCTATCGATAAATCGAAAGGGAAAATATGCGGCGCATCGAATGTTCGAATAAATAATAATAGTTGGATCGATCAAATGAGCGAGAGAGAGAGAAAAAAAATGGAATATTTATTCATATTACGACACATTCTTAAGCAATGAGACACTGAACAATATCAAAAATGCCGAATATCATTAAAGGTATGCGTTTGTTTGATTGAATGGTGAATGTGCTTCTGTGTTGAAACTGAAGAGAAAGAGGAGAAGAAAATGCATGCCGATAAGTGAACCAAATCAGCGAGAGACGACACAAACGCGCATTCACAACGACGATATTCCGTTTAAATTTTACATCATTTTTTTTTCACTACTCGTTTTGCACACCGTCTTTGTGCATCTTTTATCATCATATATTCGATTAACTAAATGGAAAATAGCGAATATATAGTTATAGTCAATATTTGTTGATAATCGCAAAAAAGTCAATGAAATTTTGCAAATTTCACAATCCACAATGAAATAGAGAGTTTTTTTTCTCCTTCATTCACATTTTTCATTTAATTTTCACATGCAAACATGTTTCGTTGCTTTTTGATCAATTGAATGTGGTACTTTAGTGATCTTGGTCTTTGAAAATAAAATTTGGTTTCGTGTTTGGTTCAATGTCATGCTGATGCAAAAACGTATGTTTAATTGGGACATGATATTTCGGGAATTCATTATCAATTGTATGAATTTCGACTGTATAAAAATCATCCAACATCTTCACACTCGCATCCATTTTTATTTATTTGATCAGATGGTGTTGAAAACAATTGCGTCGATTTTTCTGCCTATCATGTCATGATGATATTGCAGCTACTTTTCTTTTCGAAGTCGGCATTGTCTATCAATTTTAATGAGTCAGTGGCGCAAAAGAAATAAGAGAATAAAAAAAACACACACAGACACAATCGTACTCACACAAAATGTAAAACAAGTTTTCACTCAACACACTCATGTGAGTATACAACTAAAAACAAAACCTCTAGAATAAAATAAGACGAAAAAATGCTCGAAATTCTTCTAATTCATTATACCATTTGAAGTACATAAATTAATGATGTGTATTTCGCATGAATGTTGAAGTGCACAATACAATGGAATTTGATTGGAGCCGTTTATGCCATACAGTAACTTACACACAGTGAACGATGTCAATATAATGCGTGTGTGTACGCGAGCATAATACACATACGCACAGCATTCAGTAAAAAAATGAAATATTTGAATTTTGTTTTGCAAGAAAAACCTTTTTTTCAAACCTGTGTATATTGATAGGGTAATCAAAAGAGAAATTTTGCAGCAGCAGAATTTAAATATATGTATATCAATCGCACATCGGCACAAAAATCTCAAAAATTTAATAATATTTTTTCGATGAAATGTATGAGCGCTCTCTATTTCTCTTCCCCTTCTATTTGACTTTATCAATTTTGATATTAATTTTTTTCTTGATTCATATGTGGGTCTATTCTCAGAGTCGTTTCAATTTTTTTCATGAAAAATGTTTTCTAGTTTTTTTGCTTGGTTTGTCGTCTAAAATACTTTTGTCTACAATTAACTCATATCTGTTTTTTTTCTCTCACTCTCTAATTTCAGATGGATGTAGTTCATTAGCGAATAGAAATTTACCAGCCTCCTTTTGGAATAGCAATTATATACCACCTGTACCAGCTCCAACTCATCACCAAGTACGTACATGCCATACTTCTTCAATTTTTTTTTTTTTCTTTCAAATTCAATGTTATTGTTTTATTTTTGTGTTCACATTTCGTAGCACAAAATTTTGTCTCTTTGTGTGAATATATGCATACATTCATATGAAGTTTTTTTTCTTTTGTTTAATTTGTCTTCGTTGCAATTTGCAAAACTAATAAAGTTCTATAAAATGGCATGTTGATGAAATATTTCAACGTTCATTTCGAACACAAGCGCGGTCTTGGGTTGTCGTCGACATTTTTATTGAACAATTGAATGGAATGCAAGGAATTGTGTCGACGATAATTTCGTTGATTCGCTTTCTCTCCCTTTCTCTTCCTCTCTCTGTCTGTCTTTCAGTGCACTATATCCGCGTGTGTAAATGCGTTTTTATATTCACTCAATTTCATAAAAAATGTTTTGCTCTCGTTTTCAGGTTCCCGATTTGTATTCAACCGATGGTAGCTACACAACTGATCCATGGGTACCACATGCCGCACATTACGGTTCGTACGCTCATGCAGCTCATGCACATGCAGCCCAAGCCCATGCCCATCATTATAATATGGCACAATATGGTAGCTTACTTCGATTGCCCCAACATTATGGTCACAGTTCTAGGTTAGTAGATGCGTGAAATGTCACCAACCAACAACAATATATCCACAAAATCACCTTGGGTTCATTTAATTAGTTTTCTTTGTTGTTGTTTTTGTGTTATTCCTGAATGACCTTAAGACACGTGATCCAGAAAACAACTAAATTCCTATTTCTTTCATATTTTAGACTTCATCACGATCAACAAGCCGCACATGCTTTGGAGAGTGCAGCAGCCTATTCAAGCTATCCAACGATGGCCGGTAAGCTTTAAAACACATTTTTATGCAATTTATCAATTCACATCTTGAGTACGTGAATCGCGAATAGAATTTTCTATGCTATAAAAATCGAGTGGTATGAAATAAAAAACGGAATCCATGACTTAAAACTGAAATCACAGAAAATCATCAAATTATGCAAAAGAAAAAGATCATTTTTACTTAATAATTGTGAAGCGGCACATAGACCAGCAGCGTCAATTTAAAATATTTCAACAGCTTTCATCGTTTCAACAAAAGCAAGTTGGAATTACCGAAAGACGCGCTGGCCCCAAACGAAACAAAAGACAGAATAAACACAACCAAACAATTTCGCTCACTTAAATTTTCTTGAATCCATGACCAGACAATACACATACATGGATTGACAAATCGTGCGCGTGTAACGTGCATTCTTATTATATCGTTTCGTTTATATATATATATATATGTGTGTGTGTGTCTCATTCCACTTGGTTATGTATTATGTGCTAAATTACATTTCAACATAAATTTTATTATCGCAAGCATCCCATCTGTCATAATTTTCCATAATTATGAACTTAAAGGGTTCATTATTCATCTTTTTCGCATCAGTTAGTATTGCAAGAAGACAGAGCGTCCGAACGTGGGGAGAGAGAGAGAAAGATCTTCACAATGTATAAGCTATGTGTAAAACGCACAATCCTCAAACGAATACGAATAAGAGATGAAATGTAAACGGCAAGAAAACGATGGGCTACAAAATAAATGAAAACGCGGTGAAAAACGTAAGAATGCAGTAGCACACACAAACAAACGAACATTTTCATGAGCTTACTGTGCGAATGTATTTGTTTACGAATGTGATCCAAACCCACCACGACAACCGTTTTAACATCAAATATACTTATACCGTAGCGTGCAATACATCACAAAACAGGCAGAAAATTCAGCAGCAGCAGCAGTAAGAATTTGCCATGGCTCGAAATGAGATAAGCGCGCGCGAAAACGAGAGAGAGAGAAGAATACGGCCTCAACAAAAGCGACATTCCATCAGAGAAAAAGTCAAAGCCGACGATATTTTTAAGTGTGCACCGAGTTTTGCCTTCATCATTGTAATTTTGCGATCATTTGCACTGCATTTCGGTTTTTAACGCTGCTCATTTTCTCTTTCTCTCGCTCACTCTACTTTTCGCACAACGAAAATGATGATGCTGTTTTGTACATTTTTCAATCGACGAGCGCATATTTTTGTTTTGTTTTTTTTTACGACGTAGCAAACCGTCGCAGCAGACTTGCACTCGCTTGCATACACACCAAACAGAAAAAAAATAAACCTATTTACACGACGAACGACATTCAAAAATGGTGAAAACCATCGAATTTGTTAAATAGGTGCAACGTATTCCGTAATGATGATCGCGCCTTTGGTCTAATTTCTCTGGGCTTTCAAAGTTATTTTGTCATTTTTGAAATGTGTATTTTCGTATGAATCACAAGTTTGAGCATCCTTTTCCGTGTGCTCTTGTTTCGGTAGCAAACAATTGCGAACCATGTTGTTGGTGATTCTTTTTTATTGCTGGCTCTCATTGGAAATTGTGCACATTTCTGTGCTTTGTATTTAGGCAAACGCCACACATATTTGTCGTGTTCTTCTAGTTGCAATTTTCATGTGCTGAGTGGTTGCAGACATTTAGCGGCACATATCAAACGTGCACAAGCAACAAAACGGCATAAAGTTTTTCCCTACCCGAAAAGTCGAAAGCAATTCCGTTGGAATGAAATGATTGGACGCGTGTGTGTGTGTGTGAGTATTTGGACAGAAAAATCCCCATTCTCTGCTTCTATGAAGTTTTTGGAGCGGAAAAAAACCAAAATTCCAATGCAACAGAAGTGAACTTTTACCTCAAGCTCGATGATTCTTCGATACACAACAGTGTCAATGTCATTCAAACAAAATGTATTTTTCCGCTCTAGTGCAGCTTAATTTCATGCACACACACGGTAATCAAGGTATGTAAAGTGCTGTTTTATGTATTCTCTCAAGTGCCGCTCATACCTAGAAGCGACACCAAAATAGGCGACGAGAGCAATAGGGAATGAACATCAATTGCAAAGAAAGCTTAAGATTCAGTCATTTTCATGAATTAAATGGGAATTTAAACAAAATGAATATGAAAAAAAAGCAAGTCAATGGGGCATTAATCGAGAAATTAATTTTAAGTGGCACACACGCATTATATTAATTATTGTTAATTTAATGCGATTATTGTTATTATTTCTAGGCATTCGGTGTGTCTGTTTTTTTGTCTCTTCTTCTCTCATTTTATTTCCATTTTAATGCATACATATATGAAAATGTACTTATTTTAATTTCATTCACTATTTTTTAACCGCCGATGCAATTCCGATTGTTACCATTAATTTAATTTGTTGTTGTTGTTGTTGCTTTTTTTCGGTGAGTGGATACATTTTCATTATGAATTTAATGTTTATTTAATTCTTGTGTGTATGTTGGGTGTTTTTTTTAACTCAATATAAACAATTATCGTGACGAATATTATGTGTGCGAAACCTCATTATGCTGCTGTTGATCAATTAACATTTTCAAAATTGAATCGTACTTGTGTGTATGTATGCGCGCGCGCTATTCGGGTGTCATTATAGATGCACGCTGACGTTTTGCTACTATAGTATCAGACAATGTCCAACATCCAATGAAAATAATTAAGTTACGTTTTTGGTTTTATAGCTATCGCTTGCTTTTTTGTTTATTTTGCAAAACCATGTGTATGTACTATCTCTATCTCAGTCGTATTGGCATGAAATATGTGTAAATTGGGCGCGTCCGTCATTTCATTCTGCCACGAAAAATATCACAAGCAGCAAGTGCAATTAATACAGTTTTAATTACCCATTTAATTGCACAAAAATGCATTAAAAGCACACGATGCTTGATACAAAACATAGTAAAATATGCTGAAAACAAAGCATAAACACACACACACACACATACATGCGTTTATATACATGCAATTTTTGATCGTGTGGTCGCTTTTGTTAAAATAACGCAATGCCAACATGCATATTCATAAATGTGCGCCTTTTTTTTCATATATTGTGTTCTACATAGAACAGTCAGGGTAGGTACTCGGTTTAGCGATGAAAAATGTATAATTGGCCGTGTAAAATGAAAAATTTAAAATTAATATTTGATTGTAAGATGAAAAGCAAAAAAAAAATAACTACAAATAAACATGGCGAAAACACAAAGAAAGCGGCAAGAGACAGAAGGAGAAATAGTTTAAAAAAAAAAAGTAGGAACCGAGCATAACGCGGCAGCACAATTTATACGCTGCAATTACAGTGTCAACGTACAGAGAAAAAAAGGTCATACTTTATTTATTATTAATTGTGTGCTATTTTGCCAAGTTCTACGCGAAAACATAAAGGAAGAGAGGAAAAACAAGAATGCAAAAAAACTTAAAAAAATAAATAAAGAGTACATGATTATCACACATTATAAACATATATTATGTATGTACATGATTATCGATAAAATAGTCAAGTTACCGCAGTAACTTGCCATGGCAAAAACCAGGCGCAACATTTCTTGAGGACGAATTTATTTAAAAATGTATACGAGTGTGTCGTTCCCCCAGATCAGTTGTCCGCACAATTTTATCATTCTCAATGTGTTGTCAATGTTCTTGTTGTTTCTGCAACCGAACAAAGGAAAAATTGAAAGTCAAATTCAGGTGGGACACTTTCAAATGCACGATAATATGGTGGATTTATGAATGGTGGATTCCCAAACAAGATTGAAAACCAAAAATAAAATGTTGCCGTTTATTTTAGACCGGCAAATAGTTTGTAAACAAAACTTGGAAAATAGAGGTTGAGGTGTTCATCTTTTCCGGTTTCGAAAATCACAACTAACCCTTTTGAGCAAACGTTTGACGCATACGCAATAAACTTTTTGAAATACGAGCTGTTTGCTTGCGGCCATTTTTAATTCCGACATCTATAGAGCAATTGTGGTGTATGTGTGAATATGTCAAACAAACAGGGGAGAGGGGGTGGATAAAGAGAGAGAGAGAGAGAGATAGAAGGAGTGTGAGCGTTTATATTGTTTCGACGACAATGTATTTTAAACATACATAAATATGTAAAATGTAGACACTTTGAAAATGTTCTCGTCTTTTGGCAAGGCAAAAGTTTTGTTTTATTGCTTCCTGCAACGCTCTATTCATGTGTGCGAATTTTTTTTGTACCGTTTGTTGTTGTCGTCACTGGACAATATCGTTTGCCATACGCTCGAAATTCAATGAACAACCAACGTCAAATATACACCCACAGATATGGGTTCAAATCCAATACTTTGTAATACACATTTTGTATTCAATTCACTTGTCTAAATTCATTTTTTTTCGGGTTTAAACAAATGCCATGGAGCGACTGAAAATGGATGTGAAGACATATAGGACATACACACAATATTAAAAGAAATTACAGAAACACCAACATGATATGCGCACAAAAGAGATCCATACATAAAACACATCTATCCCCCAATATGTTAATACAGGGTTGCTTACACTTGTTAATGTTGTTGCTGTCGCTGTTGCTGCTACTGCTACTGGCTGCTATTCATGTCGACAAAGTCAACAACGCCAATATTTCTCTCGCATGTTTTGTAAAATGTTGCTCTCGTTCTGTTACAATTTTCCAACCCAAAAGATATGGAACAATTTTGTGTGTTGAACGATAAAAACAATTGAAACGCTTTACAAAGTAGCACACAAACAATACGCTAACAAACAAATGAAAAACAAAAATTTGCATGCCAAGATGAAGTGTGTACAAGAGTTGTGACTGTTAACCGCCAAAGCAATATTTTGTCTCAATAAAGAGAGACAGAGAAAGAAAACGGACGACCGAACATTTTCAACTTGGCCATTTTCGGAATTTTGATTCTATGCCATTATTATGGCGCATTGTACAGTTTTACGATTTGCATCTCTCTCTCTCTCTTTCTCTCTTTACCTCTTTTTCAATCCCCCGATAGCCACAGTATCGTCGCTCGTAAAAGCAACCGATTATATTTTAGCTCAACCTAAATAAATAAAACAACTTGCAATTCGTACAGCGGCAGCAGCAGCATAGCTTTCTAATATTCAGTGCATACACCCGCGCTTATGGAGCAAGAGAAAAGAGGGATTGAACGCCATCGAAAAAGGAATATTCTTCACACATTTTGCATATATGAAATATTCACACTCAAAACGCCATTTTTTCATATGGCACTCATACCATCATATATGAATTTAAGCGAAAACAAAAGGCAAATATTAACGTGCCATTTCCTGTAACTTATTATGGCGATATTATAGGGGATATTTTTTTTCATTGTTGTGTTTAGAAATACTGAAAATTTACTATTCAGCACATTTTCCTCTTTTTAAGGCAACTCAACCACACTAAAATATTATTTACTACATACTACCGACCCGTAATAGACGACATTTCAATTGTTATTACATTTTATTTAGTATGCGTGTGTTTGGAAAGTCGACATTTTTTATTGCATCGAAATGAAAATGCATAAATCAAACCAAACAGAATGACTAAGAGATTTTCGGTTCCTTTTTTATAGCCTCCAAAGTAACACATTTTGTTTACACCATATCCATCCCACATGTTCTTTATGTTGTCGTCGACAAATTGGTTTGAATTGTTGGCAAAATCGATTTTGCGACTCTTTACACTCATTCTATTGTTGATTTTGAATGAATTTGAAGGCATCAAATTGAAGATTACACCTGCCAAAATGTCTATGTAAACAAAGCACCATTCACAACAATGTATCTAAAGTTGATTGTGAAATAAGCTTTAAATTAATTTCGTCCACTTGAAGATAACCGCCCTTGAAATTGGATAGCAGTTTTGTCAGTTTCGTCTCAAATACTCGCTTCATATCAAATTGATTCGATTTGTAGTCGGAGGGATCTGTATTGCACTTCAACTGTGAAGAAGATTAGCTCTGAATCAAATATTGGAATAAAACTCTTTTCGTTTGGAATCCGCTTGTATTTTACTTACTTAGTAAATAGTTGATCACAATCATGAAATATCGATGGTGTGAAATTGAATAATTTTTCATGTTCACATCAAACGACGCTCACCAAATCGTTTAAATTTTATAAGGGAGCTCCACAATGGCAATGCAATAGCAACAGACGAGAGGAGAGAAGAAAAAAACGCATTCAGTGTGTTTCGTCGGCATTTTGCATGTGAAAACAATGCAATAGAGTTGAATAATTTTTGCAGAAGCGAAAAAAAATGTCTTATCAGATCAAGGTGACACTCACATACACACTGTTTTTCATTGAATGCATATATAAATGCAGAAAAGCACAATCTGAAAAAAAAAATCGTATGTGTGAGTGTGGGTTGGAATGTCGTGAGCAATAAGCAAACGATCGATTGGCAGCCAAAAGAAGTTCCTTAAATGTTGGTGTGTGTCTTTTTTTTTTGCCCATGCACACACTACTGTTCTCGCTTCCTGCAAGAAACAGTGCACACAGCCACGTTTTTCTTTCAATCATAAAGTTGTTACATGCGCGATATTGTCCGATCTCTTGGTTTATTGTATTTAAAGGGGAGTAATTCAAATGCGATCAAGATAGTTGATTAAAATTGGTTACATGTACCGGTCAATCTATATTGTGTTCGGTGTGCAAAACAAAACTCAAAAATTTGTCCACACAACAAGCAACAAAATAAAAAGAAAAATAAGAAGGCAGCTCGTATATGTTATCGAATTTGGAATTGAATAAGTCATTTGAATCGATGCTCACTTTATGCCGATGTAATCGACAATGTGGCATTTTATACCTACCTTTTTGTCATGTATGTGTTACTCTTTTTTTTATTCATCTTCGAAGTTGTACACAGTTTCGAACTCGGCTGCTTTTATACAAAGATATCATTTGGCGTTATCACATCAACAACAAAGAGATGTGTCGCATCATGTTTATACATCTTTATATATTTTTTCTCTTCGGCTCCTGTCAGTGCTGCTGCATTTTGTTTTCTCTTCAATTTACAACAATGAAATATGTTCATTGCACTTTTGCCGAGCAATAAAAAAGCAAGCAATCGAATTAATCGAATGGTCGAACAAGTTAAAGAAAGAGATAAAAAGAAATGTTCATTTGACTAGAGAGAAATAGAGCGATTTCGTTTGCTTGTCATTCACAGAGCGGTGTTCAAATGCACATTAGAGATGTGATGCTGGATGCAGTAGCCGTTGTAGTAGTTGTTGACATGCAATCGAGAGCAATTTACATGTGGAACATTATTCATGATTAACACATACATAGACACGCACAAGCGCACGCTGTTATTATGACGGTCTTATGATTTGCTTATAATTCGTGATAGTCGAGTAAAACTCCGCCTTTTCGCCCATCGATATGTAGTATATACGTTACTTTTATTGCTTCAGCGTAATTCAGTGTGTTTTACTGCAATTCGTTGGCATGTACGTTTGCCGAAGGCTGTTTTAATCAAATCAACGGCTGCCACTGCTACTAAGCACACAGTGGACGCATTGAGCGAACAAACGAGCATGTGAGTGAACACAAACAAGCTAGAAAATTGACTTTATTACATGGACCATAGTCATTGGAGTTCGGTAGCAACAACGATGAAATATCGTCTACATATAAATATGTTTAAGTGAAAGAGAAAAAAGATTTTTCTTTGATGTTAAACATTTCCACAGTAATTTGTTGACCTTTTTATTTGAAATAACCGAAAACTAATCATCTAGTTGAAGTGTGCAGACACCGAAATTGATATGTCAAATTGTGGATAATAAAATATGAGACTGTTTTAAATTGCATACAAACAACAAACGGAATACTTACGTCAATCAATAAACGATTGAATACGATTTCATTCATTTTTGTGAATTAGCTAAAATTCACACAACGTGATTGTAAAGGAAAGGAATGTATTCACCAGATTCTATACTGTCACATGTATCAGTCAGTAGCAAATTCTATTATTTTTTTGAGAAAATACTGTTTTTTTAGTTTAAAACGAAATTAAATGAAATAAAAAATGAAAAAAATGTGTGATTGAGGAGAAGAAAAAATTGCACAAAAGAATTTTGACAAAAATTGTCATTTTCAAATAATTTGATTTGATTTATTTTGTCTTTTCAGGTCTTGAAGCTCAAGTGCAGGAATCTTCAAAAGATTTGTATTGGTTTTAAAAGCACATCACCACAAACAGCTGAATGAAAAAAAAAGAAGAAAAAAAATCATCACCAAAGATTTTTAAATTATTTTGAAATGGACTTTAAAGAGAAAATGGAATGGTAACACATTTAAAAATGGAAATAAATGATGTACGCGTATGGTTTCAAAACAAACAGATCGCAACAACCACACAACCAACACATACACACACAACAACAACAAAAAATCATACAAACCGACAGATACACATAAACTTCCCAACAAAGTGACACACAGATACGCAATGAAAGTATTACATATAATATTTTTTCAAGTTAAATAAACGCTAAGGCTATGGAAAGAATGGTCAAATGTCTCACACTGGGGCTGTCCGATTTTGGTCCTCTCTGCGGCTTTCTTTCTGTGCAATGCTTAAAATTTTAGCATTGACATTTCAATATTATGGCAATGGACAGAGAGATTCCCAAAGAAGACCAAAATCCGACAGCTCTATCTCACACTTGGATCATCAAATCAGTTTAAAAAAAAACCATCATACAATTAAAATTAATATTAGAATCATGTACAAATCCGAAATCTATCAGAATCCAAAACATAACAGAAAGTTAAAATAAAATTAAAAAAACGAATTGGTAATAAACATTTGCAAATGGGATGGAAACAATTATGTGTAAATGACAATGGGGAAGAATCGAATTGTTTGAATCATGCAAATTATATATTATGAATATTGAGTAGCTTTAAAAAGAATTTTTGTTCATTTTCAATTTTATGAATTAGCTATCTATGTTTGAGTCTCATTATCATCATCTCCACCAAAGGTAATTCCTTTGACAATACGGTTTAAAACCATTTCAAGAGAGAAAATACAATCTTCATCATAAAGTTCAACATACCTTTTTGTTTCCAAAACAACCATAGAACTGTATAAACATGTAAAAAATAACGGTTTATTCGTTGTTCGAAATTGAAATGAGTATTGTTCATTTAGTTTACAAAAAAGCAAAATATTATCTTCATTCACTTAACAATTTAATCCCTTCTTTTCTCTACTATCGATCATTTTAACATGTTCGATTATGAAACAATTACAACAACAACAAAAATGAAGAAGGTCAATCAATCAATTGAAATGAAGATCGTGACGTGAAAAATGTGTATCAACATACATGTGGCTGCACATAACATCAAAATGCACTATGATTGAATAGACAATCTTGAAAATCGTTTAAAATTATCATTTTAGCAAACGACGAATAATAGAAGATGAAAAACTTGGGACTTATTGGAGAATGGAAAAGAGAAAAAAAGACACTTGATTGAGAGAAGACGAAGAAAAAAAACTAGTAGGTTACATATATAAATATTAAGCGCCAATAAGTTTAGATATTCACGATTTCTAATTTTAAAACTATTCAAATTACGTAAATGGTAAATGACAAGAGAAAAAGTATGCCCCTTAGCCTATAGATAATTCTACAACATAATTCACAATGATACAAATTAACTTAAACAACAAAAAATAATAAATTTACAAAAAAAAACAACAACTACAGATGACAACAACAATAATAATTTTTGTGTAAAAAAACTGCTATCTCGTGAATGCATGTGTGTGCGTGTGTGTGAAAGAGAGAAAGAACGCTAAAGCGAACGAAAGAAAGTGAATGTAAAGAGTTAAGTTCATTTACAAATAAAAACAAAAAAAAAGATGAAAAATCGTGAGAGAAAAAAACTAAGTGTAAAGAGCGGTCAATGAAGAGGTGTAATCGGTTCATTTTGTTGCTTGAGCGACGATACACACAGAATCCTTAGATAAGTTGCATATAAATTTTAGTCGTGCGAACTATTGATTGAATTACTGAACGAAATATCGAATTGAAAGTCATTCATTCGAACGCACATACAGTTGTCTAATTGTGTTTGATGCTCGATTTTGAATATATTGTACTGCAAATTGATAAAGACTTTGTATTATGCTTTTGTTTTGCTCTCATATTTCTATGCCACCACTTTATAATAAAATAATGTTTTATTTTTTTGTTTGCTCTTCATAATTCGCTTACGTTCATAGAATGTTATGGCAATTTCGGAAGAGAAAGAATTTTTGTTTTAGACAAAGTTGATGCATAGATACAGGAGAAGAAAAAAAAGAGCATATTATTTTCCAGAAGTTTGCATCAGAAAATTGAACATGATGACATTTTATAAATACGAGGAATTCAGTTATTGACTTTCTTTTACCCTCTTCTCTGCCACCCCGCCCCCGTTTCCCGGTTTTCGTTTTGTGTAAATGAATGGCTTAGGCTAAGCAAATAGATTTAAACACAAAGCATAAAACACACACCCAATCAGAAGAGAAAAATTAAATTCAAATAAAATGCAGTCAAACTACAGCAAAATCAAGCAACACAGACACACACAGCTCACATAAGCAACATATTATCCACTTTAAATATTAAACAACAACAAAAAAAAACAACTATGTAATGATAAATTTAGGAACAAGTATTCAAATAAAGTGAATGAAAACAGTTTCGAATATGACAATTAGCCAGTGGCGTTTTACTTTTCCAATTTATTTTATATGTTTTTTATAGCAATCCATGATACATTGCCTTTCAGACAATATATTGAATTAACTGGTCAGTTGAGCTGACAGTACGTTAGCCAACAATTACTTCTATTAAAACAAGAGAAGTGATTCATCATTAAAACATTAACGTCTATTGTTTTATCCCATTTAGCTGGCTAACATTCTGTCAGCTCAACTGACCAGTTAGTTCAATATATTGTCTGTTTCTTTTTGAGCAATCATAAGTACTGAATAACTTTGAAAAAATTTAAAATGGGCAAGTTTTTTTTAGTGTAAGAAGGTGAGTTCATTTTTGGAAGCATTGAAAGCGAAATTTGTGGTGCATAACCATTGAGAATCAAAAATTACCACATCATAATTTCATGGAAATCTCATCAAGAGATCTATGTGAATTGTATACATATGTTTCTTTTTTGTATAATCGAATGTCACATAAATCATGATTGTCGTAGCGATAAATTGAGAAACAAAATCCTATATGGGATTTATCGTTTTCTAATATACATCGTTTTAATTTTATTAAAATCTAATAAACATCTGTGTTGTCATTCTTAATGCTCTCGTTTTTGTAATTTCTCTGTGTCTCATCTTTTCGTTCGTGCAGCTTTCCGGACCGAAAAAAAGGATTTATTTGGGTTGCATGTTCTTGAAGACATATCAAAAGGATCGATTTCATATTGATATTAGATAGTGTTTTGTTTCCCTTTGGTGCAATGGTTTCTTCTAAAAACCAATTTTTTTTTATTCATTATTGATTTGATTTTTGGATTCAGTGATATCGTGACCGATGCTGTTCTGTATATGAAATAAGCATAAAAAAAGATCTATTTGATTTATCGATAGAGATAAAAATCGAAAAGCGGGCCAAAACTAGACGATACGATTGAAAAACGAAAACCAGAATATCGACATCGAGTTAATAAAACTCAGAGAGTTAAAGACTAATGTCATCACATGTAATTGACGACGTATATTTTTTTACGGTTTGTTCAGTCTCTATCCGATCCTTCGCTGAATGAAGGCATTGCTCTTTTTATGTTACAAATAACACGTTTTTTTTTCTTCTTTCAAAAGTCGTTTTGGTTGCGGTTGTGTTTGTCTCCAGCCGTGCTTGAGCGTTTGTTTTTTTCGAGGCTCAATTCATAATTTAATCAATGATCAGATGACAATATTTAATGCGAATGGAAAATACGTTAATTCTTTTTAATTATCACCATAATTTGATTCGATTCATTCGAAACCTGTCAAACATGCAGTGAAACGGCGCTTACGAGAATTCACATTGTGAAAATTTCTAAATTGATATGCATCAGTTTTAATGCCTGTTGAACAGTATTCTGTATCGTTTCAAAGCGATTTGTCAAAGTCTCATTTTTTTCTTATTTTCGATGTGGTTCTTTCGTACGAATACGGTTATCGGATAGAATACATGTAGTTTTGGTTTTTCTTTATCTTTTTGTCACACATTCATTTCACAGAGAAAAATCAACCATCAATCGGCGTCGCCAACAAATTGCCGTTTGACTTTCATCAACTTTTGAATCAACGACCCAAAATATACGCAGTGTTCGTTCCGTTGAATCATTTAATGAAACGAAAAAAAAAACACACAAATTTAATTAAAAAACATTTGTTTTGATTTAGAAAAAGGCAAATGAAGACACTAAATCAATTTTAAGAGACACAAACGAAGAATGTTAAAGATCCCATAATTCTAGCGCCATCAAAATTAATATTTCCATATGGAGTATACAGATGCGAACTTCTTGTTTTGTTTTCTTAAATATAGATATGTGTCCAAAGTTATGGCTGGTCATTATTTATTTTTAAAAAAAAGTTTAACTTCGCAATGAATTCAACAGAAACACAAACAGAAGAGGGACAAAAAAAAATTAACAACACATATGATAAGCGTTGAAATACAGAAGAAAAGATAAATGGTACACCATTAAATGGTATCACCCGCAAACAATCAACGATTTAGATTATTTATTTTGTTGCACGTTTGTTCGAACCGAATTTTTCGTGCATTCTCAAAAACTTTTTGTTAATTGGACCCTGTTAATATAGCTATTTTCGTTTTGGTCATTGTTGTCAATTTGTTGCGGATAATTTGATGAGATGCTTTTAAATGACATTTCGTTTTACATTTTCACGAAAAACCAAAATATCATTAATTAACATCATTTGTATCACTTTTCAATTGGCCACTTCATACATTTATCCAACGAAGTATTTAAACTACACATTTTATTAGATAAATTGTTTGAATGCATTTTGGTCATTTTTGATTTGAAAATCATTACGTTTTTGCCATTCTGCCATGCCAAATATTTAGTTTTTTTTTTTCATAATTTCGGTGATATTGAAATGTTCAGTGTTTTTGCGAATGAATAAATGAGATTTATTAGTTACCCTGAAATTATCTAATTTTATTTATTTAGTAGTCAGGTACTTCAGTACCAAAAGTCATTGACAAACATATTGTCACAAACCACCAAACATGTGGTATTTTTTCGACATCATCAAAATTTGTATGTATAGATTTGAAACGGTTATTTTGACTAAATAAATTAGTGCAAAAGTCGTTGCATTTTTTTTAATTTATCACTCATCTCCCAAAAGAACCAAGAAAAAGTGTCTTTAATTTATGATTGTGGATGTGGTGAATATTCTGTACTTCGTACATCTAATTCATAAAATTGTGTTGATTTTTCTGTGATTTTCACACACATCTAAATGAAGCACCAAAACTTAAATGAGAAATATGAAGGAGCAGAAAAGTCGAACCAAGATCGAAAAAGAAGAAAAAGAACGTCGGTTTTGTCTGATGGTGCAAACGATTTGTGAACTTGTCTATGGTGATAAATCATAATTTTTGCGACACATTTTGAATCCAATTTCGAGTGTATTTTTTTTCTGTTTGGAAAAAAACACATGTTATGTGATACTTTTGAATGAATGACGGTGCAATCAGCGACAACACACTACTTGAGAAGAGACAAAAAAAATACCACATATATTACAGAGTTAACAACGCAGAGTAAAGCGAGAGCAAAACACAAAAGTAAGTGCACACATGAAAGTTGAAATATCACTTCAAAAAAAGTTTGAATGGGAGAGAGAAAACTCTGTAGACGATCGCCATAGATGCGAACAAAGTGAGAAATATTGTCCCGTAAATGTTGTACAATGACTGATACAAACAGGATATTGATCATCCAGTTGAACATGGTTTGAAAGAAGAAAAATATTTAATTGTTCTTAATTAGACGGCATTTGGATAATAACGGTTTTTCCCGAGCATTGACATTGGCCTACATCTTCGTTTTTTTTTCTCACATTGTTCCATCGAGAAAATTAAAATGATTTTTTTCTTTTGAAACGCTCATTTTCGTAGGCAGTCGCGCAGTGTGTTTATGTTTCTAATTAAATGAATAGCAAATATAAAAATAATAATTAAAGACAACGACGACGAAAAAGAGAGAGAGAAAAAAAACGAATAAGAAAAATTGCTTCGAATAATGTTCGGCTGCATCGACATAGTACGAACGAGACAGAGAATGTATGCATGCCGTTGATTTACTGTAGATTTATGTTCCTATAAGGAAATAAATTACCGGAATCGAGAGCGAAGAAGAGGCGACACACCAGCAAATGAAAATTGTTTTTGGATCAAATGAAGCGAAAATGATGGATTACAACTAATTTATTTAAAATAAAAGCGAACATAATGCTGCGTAAAAACTCGTACATAGTATAAAAACTAAGAAACAAACTGGACTACTAGCATCCAACAGCCAACATTGTACAGTATTTATTCGTGATTTTGTCACACCAAACGCCAGAGAAATGAAACGAAAATGAGATATTCGTTCGTGATTCAATGCATTTTACAGATAATTTTACATTTCATTCATTATAATCGCTTAATTTCACAATAAAACATATAATTAGAAAAGAGATTTTTTCTTTAATTTCACTTCATCTTTGGAAGAAAAGTCTATTTGGGATGTAGTGTAAAATTTTTAATGAAAAGACTGGAGGTTTTTTTTTTCATTTTCAAATATAACTACTTAATACGGTTCATTGCAGATAGTTTTCGTAACAGAACCAAAGAAAGAGTTCAATGAAATTGTTGGCGCGCAATAAATCGTCCACAATATACGAAAATCTCATTTCAAATTCATTCTGAACCAACGTCGGCTAATTGTTGATACTTATGGTTTGAATGCAGTTTAAACGAGTAGATATTTAACCAAAAACTTAAACATTTGTGTGAATATTTGAAGATCAAGGGATCAATGATGATACGTTTTTCTTGACTCTGTCAAAAGAAATCCCTGGGTGATTATCGAATGGAGTATGATGAACAACTGGTTGAATAAATAAAAAGAAATGTATTTTTGGTGTGTCCTTTCTCATTTTGCTCGATTACCTTTTCGTTGCGGCTGAAATCGTAACCATAAAACAAATTGAGATCTTTAAAATGTCTCTTTCGCTCTCGCTCTCAATCTGCTTGCCACAAAAAGAAACCGTTAAAATACGATTATGCACATTTTTATTTATTTGTTTTTATTGTGGCGCATTTCAGTTCATTTCCTATTTCGAAATTAATTCATCTGGTTTGTCTTGTTGTTGATATTGCATGTGCCCATTGTGTTGGCGAGAGTTTTTCCTTCAAGTTGTTTACGAATTGGGTACATATTGGTGAGCGCTGAATGCATCGTGCATTGAATGCATTTTCACGAAGCACGTGTGTGTATTTGGCTTTTAAATGGCACCCAATATGTGAAGTATAAGTGCTTTGGTGCTATTGTTAACGATTCATGAAATTTATGGCGTTGAATGGTGTAATAAATGTTAGTAAATGGGTTGGAACCGAAACGGCGATGATGATGACGATGATGATGATGTCGGTAGCATGGTGTGCACATTTAGAATAAAATACCGAAAC